ATATATATATATATATATATATATATATATATATATATATATATGTGCGTGTGTGTGTGTATATAATTCCATGTCAATCGTGCAGCTCATCCATCCATCAGCCAATTGTGTATCATGTCCAATCTTATTTTGAAAAACAGTGATAGAGCAAGTCCGGGAAAAACGAACTGCAAAGTAGCGAGGGACTACTGTTTTTTTTTTTTTTTTTACTGTATGTTACACTGATTTCATTCATTTTGCTAAACGCCCATCTGGGGATGTGCATTGCAAATGAGCATAAGCTATAAATGATATAGTGTACAGTGTTATTTAATGCCTAACACGTGTCCCTATATAAACAATAAATTAAATAAAAATAAACAATACCATGAGTTAAATTAGTTTTCTCTACATCCTGAAAATATAACTTCAGATTTTTCACATTCATGCTGCTGTTTGGCAAATTGTTTTTGTGCTACTAGTGCTTAGAGTATTTTTAGTTGATGTTTTTCTTAGTTCATATCTTAGATCTTATTACTGCTTTTACATTTTATACTTTTGTTGGATGTAACTGGGACCTCGTGTACACAATTTCGTTCCACCACTTGTACCACATGTGGTGCAAATGACAAATAAAGAGACTGAGATTATATCACCTAAACAAAGACTTTTAAGACATTTAAAAAATTGAGACCATGATGATTCCAACATTTAAAGCAAAAATATTGCATGTTATTTAGTGCTCAAAGTACATGTATATGTTAGGGATCAGTCAATACCAAAGTTTAGGGCAATGTCTGTAAAATGGACTGTGGCAGCCATCTTGAATTGGGTTGAAAGCTAGTCAGTTGTCGATATACAGTACATTCAAAGATTATCGTACTCTCTGAGAGTTTGAACAAAATTTTTTTATGAGATATTCTGTTAACAGATAACTGACTCATTTTAAACAGATCTTATCAGTTAGTGCTCAGAGTAGGTGTTGAGGATTACTTCCACCTACTATCACACCAACATTTAGCTCAGTCATTCGCCATATTGGCTGTTATGATGATTAGCTGCGTTGGCCATCTTGAATGGCGTTAACTCCAAAAAATGACCAGTTTTAGATGCCCTTCCTATGATTATGCTTTGAGAGATTCATTAAAATTTTAATTTGTCCAGATATTTGCTAATACTATAAAGAAACAAACATACACACACGAATGGGCAAGAATATATTTGCAGCATCCTATTCAGAGGTGAACAATACAGCTAGTTAAATTAAATTAATTTGTACATTTTGTAATTGACGTGCCATTATTTTACCTGACATTTTAACTTACTCTATAGAAGTCATTTCAAAATGATGATGATATTCATTAAACCTTCACAATTCTTGAATACATTTTTGTGCTTTTTTTCTTTGTTGGGTAAATAATTGCATATCTGCCTAGAAAATAAGCTTTGAAGTGGCTCAAGTTGTACTTTTTCTCTCTAAAAATAGTATCAAAGTATAATTATGCTATCTCTAGGAAATGACAAAGTCATGTTTTTTCTATAGCTGGCTCGGAGCTTTACATAATTCTCATATCATTCTATTAAATTATGTGTAGAAACACTTGTGGGACTGCAAGCTTTTTTGTTTTGAGATCCCTGTGCAAGAAGAAGATGTTTTAATCAGCCTTCATCCCAAGGTGGTGCTAAATTTACTTAATTTGAGTCTCAAAGAAAGAGGAGACAGAGTTCACCTGCTATGTTTGTTTTTCTCTTGTGATCTGCTTTATTAAGTCTCAGACAAGTATTTATGCAAAATGGTAACCCAGTCTCAGAAGACGTTTGAGAGAACCTGTGTCCCCGTGTTGTGGGAAAACTCGATGCGCAATGCTACCTCAGCCCAATTCGTGCTATGAATCAGTGCAGCGTACAGACTCTAAAATGCAAGCTTGTTTGCTTCTGACCTTTTCAGGAGTCAAAGTTGTCGGTGCAGTTGCTGATTTAAATGATAAAATGTGGTACCTGCGTTAGGTTAAGTCATAAAAACCTCTGTGCTGAAACAACTGAAATACAGCTGAAGCAACTCAACTTAAAACATAAATATATAATGTAAAGAACTAGGAGAGAAATAAGTAATTCATGTTAAAGTTATTAACTTCTGTCTACTACTTTGCTGTACCCGCTTGGTACTTTGCAGGACTGTAGAGAGTTGGCACCTTTTTCCAATGGTCATTAGTAGTGGTGTCCTGATACCGATACTGGTGTCTGCATCGGACCCGATACAAACATTTTTTACAAGTCCTTGTACTTGTAAAAAAGGCCCCGATACCTGGGACCAATACCACTTATGTACTGGGTGGGTGGCGCCATTTCTGCTTCTGCTGCGCAAGTGACTGAAGGTTAAAAAAAATGTATGTAGTTTGGAGATATTTTAAGATAAACACGGATGAACTCAGTAAGTACTCTGTATCAGTACTCTGTATCGGTGAGTACACAAACTGAAGTACTCATACTTGTACTCAGTTTGATAAAAATTGGTATTGGGCCACACTAGTCATTTGGCAGCATGTGGTGTACACCCTGCACAGGTCTACAGGAACACAGATGGACAAACAACTAACTACACTCACACGCATCACGTCAATGGCCAATTTTGAGTTGCCAATTAACTTGACAGTTCTGATAATGAACAGTGGGAAAAAAATCAGAGAACCATGTGGGTCTTGTCCTGCTCGACCTAACTGCTGCCTTTGATACCGTGGACCATAGCATTTTAATATCATGCTTACAGCACCAAGTGGGTATCTGTGGTACTGCACTGAACTGGTTTAGGTCCTATCTGGCAGATAGAACCATGTCTTTCAACATAGCTGGGTCTGAATCCTCCACTGCTTCTCTGTGTTTTGGGGTTCCACAGGGCTCTATTTTAGGTCCCCTACTTTTCTCCCTTTACCTGCTTCCATTAGGATCAATCCTTAGAAAGCATGGGATCTTTTTTCACTGTTATGCTGATGATAGTCAGATCTATATGCCACTAAAAAAGAAAGATGACCCCTCAACTAGGCCACGTCTGTTGTGTTTTGAAGACATCAAAGCCTGGATGTATTTAAACTTCTTAAATTTCAATGAAAAGAAAACAGAAGTGATGTGTTTGGTCCTAGTGGCTCTTGTGAACCTTGCCCTGTAGATCTGGGTCATCTGGCACCACATGTAAAGAAAACTGTTTCTAACTTGGGTTTTAAAATGGACAGTGATTTTAAATTAGATTCCCAGATTGGAGCGGTGGTCAAGACCAGTTTTTATCACCTCAGACAGCTGGCTAAGGTAAAGCCCATCCTCACAAAACAGCAGCTGGAAACAGTAATCCATGCCTCTGTCACCTCTCGGCTGGATTACTGTAACACTCTTTACCTTGGAGTCAGCCAGTCCTCCCTCAGACGCCTCCAGTTGGTCCAGAACGCTGCTGCTCGGCTTCTAACTGGAGTTCATGAGAGGGAGCACATCACCCCCACTCTGGCTTCACTCCACTGGCTGCCTGTTCATTTTAGAGTTCAGTTTAAGATTCTTTCATTTGTTTTTAAAAGTTTAAATGGTCTTGCTCCATCCTACCTCTCTGAGCTGCTTCACCCATATTCTCCTGCTCGGTGTCTCAGATCAGCTGATCAGCTGCTCCTGGAGGTGCCGAGGTCTAAGCGGAGGCTCAGAGGGGACAGAGCTTTTTTTCCTGTTGCCACTCCAAGACTGTGGAATGATCTCCCTCTTCTCATCAGACGAGCTCCTTCACTGTCCAGTTTTAAAACTCTTTAAAAACACATTTTTACTCCCTGGCTTTTAGCACACACTGAATTTTGCTCTGCACTGTTTTTATTGTTTTTATTGATCTTAATGTTTTAACAACTGTTTTATGTGTTTAAATGTTCTTGATTTTATGTGTACAGCACTTTGTGGCAGCTGTGGTTGTTTTAAAGGACTTTATAAATAAAGTATTATCATTATTACTTGTGGAAACCCCACGGGAGAGCAGGCAAATCACATGCAGATAGTCAGGAGTTGAACCTACGGCCTTCTTGTTGTGAAGCAATGAAGCAAACCAACTGCTCCATTATGCAGCTCCCAAGTTATTAATTTTATTTCTAAAAATCAAGCGTAAAGGTGTTTTGATGAATTATAGGTGAAGACTTCAGACAACACATTTCTGAATCATGCCGTACTGCTTCTACTGTACTGACTCCCTCAACAAGAGACTTTACCACACTGAATTAATAACTATATTTTAAATAATTGAATTAGTCACATTTCAGCATGGAGATTTACAGTATGTAGGTCGGCCTTATCTTGTATTCATGGTTTTACAAAAATATAAATGTTGGTATGGCAGATAATTGTTCATCTGTTATTTGTTGTAAGTGCATTCTCTGTATCAGTATCTTGAGAAGGGAGAGATCAACTGATAACCAGTTTTTAGTGTATAATTGGGCTCATGTCTGGGGAGGTCTGTGTTGTATTGGAAGCTGAAATAGGATGACCCCTTTTTTCATAAGTACTAACTTACCATAGCTATTGTAATTTATTCCCCTGGTTAAGTTCTATTTAGATGAGTGAAGCTCTGACACAATGAGTTCAGAAGGTTCCTAAATTTATGATGGTCCCCAAATTACCCAAGAATGATAACTACGAGGTCCTTCTCTTAAAAATATGCCAGTATCTAAAGCTGAATTGGACTTTCTAGGCAGACTGGGTTCAGAGTAAACCTAATGTATTCCTTATTTTTGTAAGGTTTTACTCAATACTCCGATAAGTAGTAACCAAAAATAGCAATTCCAAGATCAGGATTAATTAACAGTGTTTATTTACAGACGTGATCATCAACAGTAGGCTGCAACTCAGCTGGGAGGGACTGGAACCCTGGAGAGCAAGGACAGGAGTTAATATGGAGGTTTAGATCATTGGGGATGATTCACTGTATGGTTTGTCTCTTACTGTGGGAAGCCAAGGTCATCATAGTGTTGAAGGTCTCAATACTTCCTGGAACAATGAACGAGGAAGTCCCAGAGAGGTTTCATACATCAGTGGGCAAGTGGTGTAAGGCATTATTTCTCATAGAGGTAGTTTGGAAAAAAAGGTCATATTTGTCACCATCCGTCATAAACACATCTTCAGTCTTTTAGACACCATTAAACAATACAAGTAGTTTGTTCTTCTTCTGGGGAACAGTAATATGTCATCATACTTCATTCTATACTGAACCTTTTGTTCATAATGAGTGTTTATCAAGCTCAAAGCTGCTTGCAACTTGTTTGACACTCTGTGGCAGACAGCAGAATAATTAAAATTCTAATTGACAAAAGCTGTTTAAGCCCTGAAAACGTGCTAAAGTTTTGACAAGAATGATAATATATTTTAATGAGCCGTAAGCTCCTTGTGGGAAAGCTGCACTTTTCAATCTGGGTTGAAGGAGTCTCGCTCCGTATTTTGTATTCTCTTTTTATTCTTCACTTTCCTTTAATGTGTACACAGTAATTTATGTAATTCTTGTTGTGTGCCAACAGGGCAACCACAGACTGGGAGTGAACACCGGTCTGGAGGGGGACTGGTGCAGCCTCATTCCAGTAGGTGGACCCTGCCTAACAGTGACCACGGGACTCAAATGGAACCTAAGTGAGTTATTTTTTGTTCAGATTAGCCTCCAGTTTCTTTTACTTTCACATCTTGTTGGCTCACTGCACAGAGAGCCTGAGATACAGACAGATCTGTCACGACAAAACAATACTTTGCTGAAGTTTTAAGTTCACAATGCTTATGTCACCAAAGACTAAGTACCGTAATTTTCGGACTATAAGGCGCACTTAAAATCCTTTATTTTTTTTAAAAATCGACAGTGAGCCTTATAATCATCACGCCTTATGCATTAATTCTGGTTGTGCTTACTGACCTCAAAACGATTTTTATGTGGTTATTGTGAATGAGTTGAATAAAGTTTGACATCTGACTGTTTTGTTTTTGCTTAATGCGCCTTATAATCCGGTGCGTTTTATGTATGAAAACAGACTCGTTCATTGATATTGCGCCTTATAGTCCGAAAAATACGGTACTTTTTTTTTTCATTTACAGTTTAATCATTTCATCTAGCAAATAAAAGACAGTGATTTACAGACGCTCAAAATGAATAACGTGTATTTGTTGTGAAGATTTAAAAAAAGAACATGCTCCAAAGAGCACCAAAGTTCATGCTCATTACTCCAGGTATAAATCAATCAATCAATCAATCAGGTCATCTGGATGGTTTATTTTGTTGCTGAGAGGTTTTGTCCTTCATCCAAAGGACTTCTTCTTTGGTGTTTTGAACCACGTTGGCATGGCCGCCTCAGAGGAGTTGACGGGGGAGAGGGCTGGTCCGGAGGCCATCTTATCACCAGTAAACTGATTTTTTCCACTATGGGAGTGAGCCGTTTGTGGAATTCAGTTTGGTTTGGTGGCTCCTCAGACTGAAGAAGTCCTTCGGATGAAGGAGGAAACGTCTCAGCAACAAAAGAATCCATCCAGGTGACCTGACTAAACATTATTGGATGCTCCAAAGATCTTTCTTTGTCTTGATTAATGAGTGAACATCTATTGGAGTTCCATCTGAGGACCCCTGTGGTGTCACCCCTGCTCCCACCCGTATGGCCAGCTGTGCTTTTAATGAGTTGGCACCGACCAAACTGCCACCCAGTGGAAGGAGACTGGACCTTCTGTCAGTGGAGTTGCATAATGCGTCTCCTCCTTAATGGATGTCCACTGTCAGAGCTTGTGTGTACATTTTTGGGAGTCTATACGCTCGACCGAGCACATGTCTGCTTGTTTGAACATGTCCTAGTGCATGTTTCAACGTGCATGTGCACATGCACTTCCAGTCTTGTTTATGGGCGTGTGTTTTATTTAACATACAACGTGTTGTACAGTGTATTTGCTTGGCACACCTGCGAGATGGTCTTCTGAATGGTAATGAGTGGGACTTAATACATCAGAGTCTTATGCAGATTAGCCAGTGATAACAAGATGCATAATTAACCAAATGCATATTTAGAAGGCTAGAAGTAATGATTCCCCTTTGGGGTTTGAGAAAGGAACTGGAATATAAAACAAAAATGTGATTTTTTTTTATTTTTTTTTTTCAACATGCTTGACTGCAGCATGTACAGTACTGGTGGAAATATTGTAATTCCAGCTTCCTCTGGCTGGTGTGCTTGTTTTGACTGTATAAATTTATGTCTGTGCAGAAATTTAAATCCTGCTTGCTTGGGGAAGCCCAAGTCGGAGCAGTGCCATTCTCGGGTGACATAAAGACTCTTTAGAAGTTCATTGAAATGATGCCCCACACTTACGTTCAAAGCTTTTCTATGATTAAAAATGTATGATATTTCTATAAAGAAAGAGTCTTGAGCTGTCAGCCACTACACCCCGTCTCGCCTTAAGGAGACTTTTTGTTTTTTTGTGCATCCAGAGGTTGTTTTTAACTCTCGCTCGCAAGAATAAAATTCTACAGTGGTTTGTGTTCTTTTGATCTACTTTGTAAATTTAAAACGAGTTCTTAGTTGAGGAGCAAACTTTTTTTTTTTTTTTTCTGGTTTCGCTTCAGGAGAATGAGCTGAAATAGACTTGGCTCAAGTTAATTCAATAATTTTATCAGTTTTTAGGTTTTATCAATAATTTATGTTGCGACGCCAGATCTGAAGCAGTACATGTGTTTACTCAGGCAGCCAAGGGGGATACATGTTTTAAAACCCAAAAAGTACAATCCTGCAGAACTAATACTAGTTGATTGTTTTTTCAGTGAACCATGCACGATGTAAAGATGTCATTCTGACAGCTTTTTATTAAACAAGCTGTTCTCCGATGTCCTCCATCGCTGAAAGACTCGAACAGTGAATGGTTTTAGTTTTCTACGAGTGTTTTTCTGGACTGGAATTGAACAGTGACTGCAACTAAACCTTTCTGCTTTTGGTGCAAGATATGTACGTGGGTGAGAGTTACACTGTGAATAAGAACAAAGTTTTTTTTTTTTTTTATTGGCCATGGTGGCGCAGAGTGGATGGAGCAAAGTTTATCCATCAACAGGTACAATGGCTGAGCCGGGGGGTGGCAAATGGTGGCCTTGACCACCATAGGTTAATAGTTGGCCACCCAAGGGCTACCTCAATCATTTAAAGAAACTACTTTTAAGCAATATAAAAACTAGAAACCATACTTTCCTGAATTGATAAGGGTGGCCATTAAATAAATAGATAAATAAATAAAAATATTATATCGAGATGCAGTCACACACCAAAATGGAAGTCGGTACCTCAATTGTTTTTCAAGTTATTGCACTCGCATCATACACGGACGAACGGACAGTGTTTCCAGTTTCTCCTTTTCTCTCCCCGACAGGAGACAACAAAAGTGTTTTCGCTGGATTCCTCACTTGGTCTGGAGGACGGAGGTACTGCTGGTCCCACCGTTAGGTCAAGTTTCTATGGAAACTTGCAAATATTTATTAATCAGCTCCAGTAAACATAATTCTCTTATAGTCAAATAATAAATAAATAAGAAGAGAAATGGGTAGTTGCTGGTGAGCCAGAGAGCAAGCTGAGTGTCAGCAAAGGAAAAACTAACACAAGTGCAATTAAGTAAACTAATTTAGCTCGCGTTGATTTCTCCTGATACGCTACATAAATAAAGTATACCTAATTACAGTTCCATCACTCTGACCACTCTTACCTGACGTTTTCTATCCCCTCTTGTGGAAATGCAATTACCAAAAAACATGCCAGGACCTTAATGGGTTGTCATAGGAAGAAGGGTTTTTAACCCACCATATGATTTAGATTTGTGCAGTAGCCTTGTGGGAAATACAGTCACGTTTATATGGGAGTTCAACATTTATGCTATCACGTTATTTCTGTCTGTGCTTTTTTTTTTAGAACCTAAACAGAATGTTGATGCAAGTAGACCAACATAAGAATGTATTTTAGACATGTAGGAATATATACAATTTTGAAGCTGATTGGTTTTTGAAAACTGAGGCAAATCAAGAATTATAGTTGAGGTTGTCAACGTTAATACAGTAATAATGTGGTAATGTAGCGTTGCTTTATCTGTTAAAATGAGCGTTAATATAAGTCAGTGTGTAATTATGTTCATGAGCCACACCTGATTATGGTAATGCACCACATCTCTTTGATAAAGCGGCATGCGAATCAGGAAGAAATAATGACTTCATGCTTGTTGAATGAAGGAGTTATGTTCTCACAACAGTGCATGTCTGCTATGTATTATTTCAGATCTTTGCTGCCACTATTAAAGACTCTGCTTTGCGATAACCAAGTAATTTTCAAGAATAAATATAAAATATACAGAAATATATGGTAGAAATTGACTTTTTTTTGTATATTTAAAGTCTTGCTAAATTATGACTCTATTATGACAGAGTTCCGGCATTCCTGTACACATTAATCTGTTGGACTGGTGAAAATGAAGGAGTATATCCCTGGCTAGCAGAATTAGCAGCACACATCCCTGTACCCAAAGCTTCTGTTTTAATCGAGGGGCTTTTAGAGCTGCAAGACTTGAGTTGGGTAAACATTAATGCACCGCAAGTTCCATGCATAGACGTGCTAATAGGACTATGCTGCTAACAGAACCATGCTGCTAACAGAACCATGCTGCTAATAGGACTATGCTGCTAACAGAACCATGGCGCTAACAGAACCATGGCGCTAACAGAAACATGGCGCTAACAGAACCATGGCGCTAACAGAACCATGCTGCTAACAGAACCA